CACCTTAAATTTACACAGTGTTACATGTCAATGATATCTCAATAAAGATGGAAAAAATAAATGAAAGCCTCCTCCACAAAACAAAGACATGACTAAACTGGATTCGTACAGTTTGGTCATTAAAAGTTCTTACTGAGGTCTATATGAATCATATTACTTCTTACTGTGTTTCATTGTGTAAACACAGTTTTTCAAAACAGTGCTGCTGGACCCAATTACTTCCTGCCCCTTTCTTTCAACAATAGCCTGAAGCTATACGTTGAATGAGAATACATGAAAGCTTAAAGAAAAATGCAAAATCTTAATGTGAAAAAATAAAAATAAAAACCTTTTCAATGTAGAACAAGTATTATTCCAAAAAGTAATTTTTAGGGCCAGTTCTTACCTTAGTAAACTAATGCCCATATGTCTCTAAATTCATCCTATTCTTTGTCAAATGTGTTTTCCATCATGTAGATAAATGTTTTACCACCTGTACTACACACTGGAATCATATGAGGGTGGGGCTTTTAAAAAATACTGACTGTATCCTACCACAAAAGATTGATTTAATTGGTCTGAGTATATCCTAATATTTTGAAAAATTGAGATATCTACCATAAAAATAAATCTTTAAAAACTAAAGAATTCAGTGATTTTTAGTATATTCACATCATCACTATCTAATTCCAGAACATTTTCTTCCCCCAAAAAGCAACACCATACCCATTGTTAGTCAATCCCATCCCCCTCTTTCTCTAGCCATTAATCTATTTTTTATCTCTATAGACTTGCCTATTTTGGCCTATCATGTAAATGGAATCATACAATATGTGGTCTTTTTGTCTAGCTGCTTTCATTTAGCATAATCTTTTCAAGGTTCAAACATGTATCAGTGTTTCACTCCCTATTATTTCCTAATAATATTCCATGGATGGATATACCACATTTTCTTTATCCATTCATTCATCAGCAGATGAATTTGGGGGCTATTTCTGCTTCTTGACTATTAAGAATAATGCTGCTTTGAATGTTTGTGTACATGTTTTTGAATGTACATGTGTCTAGAGGTGGAACAGCTGGGTCAAATAGTACTTCTATATCTAACACCAGAGAATATGCCAGGCTGTTTTCCAAAGTGGATACACCATTTGATAATCTCACCAGCAATGTATGAGGGTTCCACTTTTTCCATCTCCCTACCAATTGTCTCTTTTATTAAAACCATCCCAGCAAGTTTCAGGTGGTATCTTGCTGTGGTTTTCATTTGCATTTTCCTTATGACTAATGATGTTGAATATTTCACAAACTTATTGGCAATTTTTACACCTTTTTTGGAGAAATTCCTATTCAAATTCTTTGGCCACATTTTTTATTTGGATTGTCTCTTTATTGCTGTTTGAGTTCCTTATATGTTCAGGATTCAAGTTTCTTGGTTTAATTTTCTAAAAAGTCTCTCAGGTGATTATCATTTATACCAAGCTTTAGAATCACTGTTCATATTATCAAAAACCTCAATATTCAAGAAAAGTAATATTCTTTACATAGTTTTTAGAGTTTTGTCAAAATGAAAAGCGAGTGTATGAAAATAATGAATCCCCAAACAAATCATCCTGGAGTAAAACTGCTAAATTCTTACCTTTGAATGCTTTTCAATAAAATGGCACAAAGTCCTTTCTTTTAAAATAAAGGTCAAATATCCACTTAAATAAAAAATGTAATTTGTGATCATTTTTACCTGGATCTTGAGATCTATGGATGAAATATTCAGGTACAGTGCTGGGCACCCAAGGGTTCAATTAATGTTTGTTAGTTATGATATGCAAAAGGCAAGCACAAAAATTCATTCAAGATAAGGTTATTGTATAGTCAATCTTCAGTCCAAGCTTAGATAAACCTCTTTCAAAGGACTTTGAAAAAATACCCTCTGTATTTTTCATGTGATGCCAAAAGAATATCCTAGCTCACATTTGAATTGTTTTCTCCATTCCCAAAATTATCAGTAAAAGGCTGACCTTATGAGGTCCCTATACACAAGTCAACAGCAAATCATATGGAGGAAAGGTTCATTCCTTTAAAACAGAGTTCTCAAAGGTGATGTCTGCAATACCCAGAAACTGGTGAGAAATGAAAATGCTTTGGCCTCCACTAGATCAGAAATGCTGGTGGAGGGTCCCCATAATGTGTGATCTAATCAGCACAAGAAATAATTTCAATGTATGCTCAGGTCAGGTTTGACTACCACTACTTTAAAATATTTTCCTCACATTTCTTATATATAGATGACATTGGTCACAGCCCTATCCTTCTTAAAGCTGAACAGTCACCATACATTTTGTAATGACCCTAAGGTCCTAAAAGCCTCAATTTTTTTCAGTCAGACAATTTCTCCATACCCTTGGGCAGACCCCTGAATATCCTATTTCAGCCTTTTTAGCTCTTAAGAACACCCAAAGCTTCAGATGGAATGTCCTGAGGTAGAATGCCATTGAACTATTTCTTAGGAATGCCTATTTTAGCAGGCTCAAATCAATATGAAGACCTAAAGATACTTCAGTACACTTACATTTAGGTATCAGAAGTAGGATCTTCTTGATCAAATCCTGTGGGGGTAAATGCACAATAGAAATATACAGCTACAATTCTGGAAGGGAGGAGGTGTCCCTCTGTGAATGCCTCCAGAGTGAGCGAGACAAGGATAAGAGGTGGTCTCAGAGTTGCTCAGACCATTTACCTGGGCTCCTAGGTAGGCCTGCTCACTGCTCTGGGCTGAAACACACCAATGCAACATAGCTTGCCAGTTCTCTTTTTTGTCCTTTTCATCCTTTTCCTTTGGTGTAGACCTCTGGGTCTATGACTGGCATATCAGAGGGTGTAGGTTTCATCCTTCTTTCTTTTTTTTATTCTTTTTTTAAAATTGATTTTGTTGGGGTGACATTGGTTAATAAAATTACACAAGTTTTAGGTATACAATTCTACAATACATCATCTTGCATTGTGTATTTATCACCCCAAGTCAACGCTCTTTCTAACACCATTTATTCTCCTCTTTCCCTTCCTCTACCTCCACCCATCCCCCCCTCCTTCTGGCAATCACCATACTGCTATCTGTCCATGAGTCTGTGTTAATTACCATCTCTACCTCTGGTCTCAGTAAAGCTTTCCTGGATGGACACTACAGAAGCAGGACACTTACAGCACAAGTTCTGAGTCAGTGGTCACAACTGATGGGGTCACAGGGCCAGGCTGGTAAAAAGTTGGAAAGATAGCCAGCCTGAGGGGTCATGAAGCCCCAGGGCTGTAGAACCTCTGAACTGCCTGCAGTGACAGTCACTCCCAAGTTCCAACTCCCGGGGCCCTGCAGAAAAGCAGACCCTAATGACAAGCCTTCAGATTTTTCCAGAAAAGCTAGAAATTCTGATTGTTATAGACACTTTCCTAATTTTTAAATGCTAGCCATTAATCCAACCAAATTTAATCATAATAACCTAAATCAAACCATGAGAAAACAATGGACAAATCCAAACTGAGAGGCATTGTGAAAAATAACTGACCTGTGTGCTTTTCAAAACTGTCATTGTCATAAAAGACAAAGACAGACTGGGAAATTGTTCCAGATTACAAAAGACTAAAGATACATGACACTTGAGATCAATGAATGATCTGGATTTACATCTGCTAACAAGGACATTATGAGGACTGTCAGTAAAATCTGAATAAGGTCTGTAGATCAGGTAACTGCTTAACTAGATCACTCTACTACAGTTATGAAAAGGAACATCCTTGTTTTTAGGAAATATACATAGTCGGTGAAGGGGCATTACATCTGTATAATACACTTAAATGGTTCATAAAAATGCATACCATATTTTTATGAACCATAAAAATACATACTATAAGACGCACCCCCTCACACACACACAATTTGGAAGGAATAAAGGTTGTTAATGTTGCAGCTGAGTTCTGTTTACATTTGCATTGGTGAAATATTATGTTATTTATGTTATTAAATATTTTACCACATTTGTTGCTTCAATTTTTTTTTCCTATTTTCCTCCTCTAAAACCTAGGTGAGTCTTATGGTCCAAAAAATATGGTAAATATACATTTATCCCTATATAAAGAGATTGATATAGAGAAAGAGCAAGCAAAGAGTAATAAAGCAAATGTAAAATGTTAATGTCAGGATGGGCAGGGTAGGACAAGTGGGAATCTAGTTACAATTAGCATTTTGGACTACAAATATGGCCACCGTTTGGACTACAAGTAATATGGCAACTGAACTCTGACCCAGAAGAGGTGACTGACATCCGACCAGGAGCCACAAATGCTAAGTTGCTTCTTTGTTCACCAAGAACCAATCCTTGGCTCCCGCGTGAAGTCCAGCCACATAAAACTCCCAGCCTTTCCCTTCTTCCGAGTGGTCTTTTCTTAGCCTCTTCTCCTGGTGGGAAAAACATCGCCTGGGAGCACAAACTTCCAAAATAAAGCTCATCTGCCTGTTTCCATGGCTAATTGGCTGTTTATTTCCTCGGCGGGGTCTAAGAAAACCTTATAGTTAACATTTAGGGAATTGGGGGGCTTATAAGTTTTCTTTTAAGTGTGAAATTTTGTTAAAAAAATAGTTAAAAATTACTTTCCAAGTCAAACAAAATCCACCTGCCAGCAGGATGCTGGTTCATAAGTTCTGGACTCTGGAATCTTGGAGTCCCAGAAAAGCCCCCTAGATACTCTTGGAGGATCTCTTCCCCTCACCCTAACTTTAACCCCTACTGCTAAAGACAGAGCAAATAATCTATAGCAGCCTGGGCATCTGGGAAGACCTCACACAAACCTGAAAACCTAAAGTCAGTTAGCACTGGGAAGGAGTGTGATGCCACAGCTCAGAAGCTGGCTTGGCATGACACCTGGAAGGGCATGGGGAAGGAAAAGAGAATGACAACTCTAGGGGTGCTGGGCAAAACCAGGGGCAACATTGCTTATTTCCCCCATTTCTCATACTACCTGGATTAATTACTAACCTCACATACGACAGCATGATTCTCTTTGTCTTGTGCCTCTATTAGTTCAGCCAGAAAGTATTCGCCATAAGTTGCTTTCAGAATTGTGTCCTGGTGCATAAATATTGGCATGAGATCATCATGATCTTCCACCCTGTTTAACAGAAAGGCTTAATGAATTTCAGTGTTATTTCTTTCCAAGGAACACCTACTATGTGCCAAACCCTGTTCTAAATGCCAGGAATACAACATGCAAATGAAATGAACTTACATTCTCACAGGAAAACAGATGATAAAAGTATAGCAAATGCATCATTTCACACATTTCAAATAGTGACAAGTGCTTTAGTATGGAGTGATGTGGTCAAGAGGTCAGAGAAGACCCCTCTGAGAATATGAATGAAGAGAAGGGGAGGAAGCTATGTCAAGAGCTGGGGGTGAAAAATTCTAGGCAGAGGGAATACACTCAGCATGTTTGCATATGAAATTAAGAGCAGCATTTGTTATGAGCCAAAGGACAAGGTGCTGGGGGCAGCATGGCCCGAATGTGTTCCAAAGAACACTACTTCTATGACATTATCCCTAGAATCCTCTACCTCTCCCCAAAAGAATTCCACTGTCTAAAAACAATTTCCTACTATAAGTCCCCTCCTGGAGTGTCACAGTTATGGATCAAAGACTCTGAGAAGTACTACAATAAAGAATTTGAACACTTTATATATTTCTTCAACACTGGCCCAGGGTATACTTTATTCCTGAGATATTGCAACACTTACCATGGAGGAGGAAATGCTAATTTAAAGGTAACAAAGCTGTGTTTATCACCCAGGGGATGTCCACATCAAACACTCCATTCTCAGGACCCTCTGAATGACCTTGACAACCAGTGCATGTGTGTGGCAGAGAAAGGATCCAAGATTTATGGCAGCATGGTGATGCTGGTCCTTAGACACATTTTAATGCCATATTTAACATTCTTTTCTTTTTAGTATATTCTTGGTTATATTTAGTAGCATTCTATTTTACCCCTCTGGGATGTTCTCATATTTATATCCTAATATTTTTCTTATTAAAAATACACACATTTGGGGATAACTTTCGGCCAAGATGGAGGTGTAGGTAGATATGCTTCATTTCCTCACACAACCAAAAGGATAACAACCAATTTAAAAACAAAAAACAACCAGAACTGCCAGAAAACTGAACTGTATGGAAGTCTGATGTGTTGCCACCCTTCAAGGCCTGACAGGTTCATGGCATTCATGCAGATGGAAAAATATTCACAGAGCTGTTAGGATGTATGGCATGCCTTTATTCATGGGCAGGCGAGCTACGCACGCTGCAAGCTCCGTGTCTATCTGCATGTCTCATGTCGTGGCCCTTGCTCTCCAGCATAGCACCCATAATTGAACTGTCCCCTTGCATGTCTCTCATCATCACTGTCCCCAGCAGGGAGTCCCTACCCGTTTAAGTACTAGAAGGTAACAAAGCCAAAAAACTGCCAGAGCATTACATAACATAATTCTGCCCATGTGAACCCACTTGTTATGGGAACAGTTTATCAGACCAAGTCTCAAGGCTATGAGAATACTGGGTATCAGGCCCCTCCAAGGCTGTAGGAACACTTCTTCTCTTAGTTACCCAGATACCTGGGTGAGGAAGCCAACTGCCTCCACTTACCCTACATCTGAAAACCAAGGAGTTAACAAAGAAACATTCATTCAGACTGCTAAGAGGGGTGGAGTTAGGTTGCCAAGGCAGAGAGGTTGTAAAGGTAGAGATGGTAATTAACACAGACTCATGGACACAGACAGCAAGGCAGTAGCTGGCAGACCAGGCAATCCCACATCTGGTGTGGATAAACCAGAAGGAAAATGGGGGAGCAGGACAGACCACGCAACCCAAGGTTCCAGTGCGGGAAAATAAAGCCTCAAAACCTCTGCTGTAAAAATTTGTGGGGGATGCAGCAGTGAGACAAACTACCAGTCTCACAGGAGAGTTGGTTGGAAGGACCCATAGGGTCCTAGAATGTACACAAGCCCATCCATCTGGGAATCAGCACCATATCAGCACCTGATAAGGCACAATTCACTTGTGGAAAGTGAGGGAAGTAAGTGAAAGAAGGGCAAGAGCCAAGCCAGGGACATTGTTTCCTCTCTGACCCCTTCCCCTCATACAGCACCACAACACAGGGAAGTGGGTTTCTCTTGCCCTGGCAAATACCTAAGGCTCCACTCCTTAAAATGTACCTGGTTCACTGAGATAAAGAAAGATGGCCCAAATGAAAGAACAGATCAAAGCTCCAGAAAAAATACAACTAAGTAACAAGGAGATAGCCAACCTATCAGATACAGAGTTTGAAACACTGGTAATCAGGATGCTCACAGAAGTGATTGAATATGGATGCAAATTATAGGAAGAAGTGAAGGCTATTTCAAGTGAAATAAAGGAAAATATACAGGGAACCAACAGTGAAGGGAAGGAGACTGGGACTCAAATCAATGATTTGATTTGATGACCAGAAGGAAGAAATAAATATTCAACCAGAACAGAATGAGGAAACAAGAATTCAAAGGACAATTTTAAATGTTCCAACATCTGAATTACAGGGTTTCCAGAAGAAGAGGACGAAGAGCAAGAAATAGAAAACTTATTTGAAAAAAAATAATAAAAGAAAAATTTCCCATTTTGGTGAAGGAAATAGACATGCAAGTCCAGGAAGCTCAGAGAATCCCAAAGAAGTTGGACCCAAGGAGGAGCACACCAAGGCACATCACAATTAAATTGCCCAAAATTAAAGATATGGAGAAAATCTTTAAATCAGCAAGAGAAAAGAAGAAAGTTACCTACAAAGGAGTTCCTATAAGCCTGTCAGCTGATTTCTCAAAAGAAACCTTGCAGGCAAGATGGGGCTGGAAAGAAGTATTCAAACTCATGAAAAGCAAGGACTGATATCCAAGATTACTCTATCCAGCAAAGCTATCATTTAGAATGGAAGGGCAGATAAAGTACTTCCCAGATAAGGTCAAGTTTAAGGAGTTCATCCTCACCAAGCCCTTATTACATGAAATGTTATAGGGACTTGTCTAAGAAAAAGAAGATAACGAGTATGAACAGTACAATGACAACAAATTCACAACTATCAACAACTGAAACTAAAAAAAATAAAAACAAACTACAGAACAGGAACATAATCACAGAAATGGAGATCACAGGGAGGGTTATCAGTGGGGATAGGGGGCAGAAAATGGAGGGAAAAGTACAAGGAATAAGAAGTATAATTGAGGAAGATGGCGGCTTTGTTGGAGAGAGCGTAATCCCCTTCCTCTATGCAGGGGAGAGAAACTTGCAGATCTGTGGAGGAACAGAGCAAGGAGCCTAGGTTATCGCAACATTTATGAAAACAGGACATCAAAAATTATAGCAGACATTGAAAAACCAGAAGGTAAGGAGACTACTTCAGGATAATAAGGACCCAGGGATCAGCACAGGGACCAGGAAGGCTGCAGCCCCCAGGCCCAGGGCTCCCAGGTCTGCCTCAGGGCACAAACGCTCCCTCCCCGGACTACAAGGATTGAGCAGCACCAGGGGAGGCCTTGTTGCTTGAAGGCACAGAGAGGGGAGTTAGATTGGGAGACAGTCACACATAGGCTGAAAACACTCACACATAGCCCTGGGAAGGGTAAGTGCCCCCAGCCTGTGTGACCAAGGGCAGCCTGGCTGTGCACCTGTGCCCCCAACCCAGTGAGAATGTGGACCTGTGGAAGACCCAGACCCCACGGCCCTGAACAAGGAAAGAGCACAGGTGTTCTCGGGTTTCTGGAGCCTGTGGTGGTGAACTCGGAGGAGCACGCACCCCTTCAGGATTCCCGACTCTTGCGCTCTGAACCCGGAAAGGACCAGGCGCTTCTCGGGTTCCTGGAGCCCGCAATGAAAAAAATGGTGGAACTATGTGCCTCTTCACGATCCCCGGAGCCAGCACTGTGAATCCAGAAAAGACTGGGGTGCTTCCCGAGAACATAGAGCCCACCGCGGGGAAAAGTGGGGGAAGGGCGCGGCCCCTTGTGATCCCCAGGGCTTGCACCATGTACCCGGAAAAGACACAGGAGCTCTGCGGGGCCCCGGAGCTCGGGAGACTGCAGCAGTGAGCTCCGGAGAACGTGCTTGGGAGCGCCCATACCCACACCTAGGGTCCTGCGGGAGGACGTCAGATGGGTGCTGGGGAGAGCGCACTGCTGGCCCTGGGGACAATACTCAGAGACTGAGTTCTGACTGGGAAGAGTGAAAAGCATTCCAAATGACCCTCAGCCTGCTGAAGCCAGCAAGACCAGAAAAACTGGATTGGCCAGTTAGAAACCAACAAGAAGTTTTTGTTTTTGTTTTTGGCTGTTGTTGTTGTTTGATTGTTTGATTTTATCTTGTTTTATAAGTGACTTTTTATTTTTTAATTCTTATTATTTTTATATCTCTCAATTCCTTATGTTTCTCTTCCTTTCATCGTAGTATTATTCCTTCCACTCCAAATTCATCTCTCCTGCATTCCATCTTCTGCTTTTCCCCCTTTTTTTTTGAGCCTGCAAGTTACTGCAAATTTGTATTATCTTTTTCTCACTTTTCTGACATTTTTTATTTCAATAGTATTTTGGTATTATTTTTCTTTCTGTATAATCTTCTTTGCTTGGCTGTTTATACTGTCGTTTGATAGGTTCCCCCAGTTATCTCATTCACAGTGTGTTGATAATTTACTGTCCTTCATTTGTGTTCCATTAGTACACCACTCAAGGTTCTATACCCCTTATTCTTGTTATCTAGATCTCATAGATTCTGCCACATGATTGTTGCTTTAATATTACTGTAAATAAGACCTAGTTCACATAAATGTAAATACTACACAATGGCCCTCCCTGATCTAAGCATAATTCATAATTTCCTGAACAATATTATTGTGGGGGTTGTCTCTATTCTTTTAAACGCTACTCCTATTTACCAATCTCTATTCCCACCCTAACTCAGAATCTGACCTCCCACAGCCTCAGAGCTTTCTAGATTCAACTAACAAGCCTTTCTGCCCCAATAAGAGTCTTATCTTCTTTCCATCCTTTCTAAAACATGGCTAGTGGCTTGGAAGATCACGAATAACACTACACGTAGCCA